CTGCGGCTTTGGATGATTTTGACGTGGGTTTTTAAACTTGTATTAATTTCGCTGTGGTCTGACACACCCTTTATACAAATTGTAGGAAGGAATTGTAATGGATCCCATGACATATAGTGATAAGCGTTCGCGTCAACTTCTGGAAGAACGTCTTGAGAGTATTATCAGTGCTGCTGCACTGATGGCAGATGCAGACTGTACACGGGACGAGCGCAGAGAGAGAATTGTTGCCGAATGCAATGCTGTCCGCCAGGCTCTACAAGATCTCCTGTCTGAATACATGTCAAACGTAAATTACTTTAAAGCGTTGTCAAATATAAAAATAAGTAATATTTACACATGTATTTTCAGATGGGTCAAAAAGACAACAGCCCAGGTCTAGATCGTGCGATTGATCAAATGTGTCGTAAAACGAGAGATTTACGTAGACAGCTGCGTAAAGCTGTTGTTGATCATGTGTCGGATTCATTTTTAGAAACAACTACACCTTTGATTGACTTAATTGAAGCTGCTAAATCTGGCAATGAAAAGAAAGTGCGGGAAAAGGCTGAGGTTTTTACGAAACATGCTGAAAAATTAGTTGAAGTTGCGAATCTCGTGTGCAGTATGTCAAATAATGAAGATGGCGTGAAAATGGTTCGATATGCGGCTGCCCAAATCGAAAGTCTATGCCCCCAAGTTATAAATGCTGCATCAATACTCACTGTTCGGCCCAACTCAAAGGTTGCCCAAGAGAACATGTCTGCTTATCGGCAAGCATGGGAGGTGCAAGTTCGAATATTAACAGAAGCTGTGGATGACATTACAACCATTGACGACTTTTTGGCTGTCTCCGAAAATCATATTCTTGAAGATGTAAACAAATGCGTTATGGCACTGCAAGTAGGGGATGCCAAAGATCTGCGCGGAACGGCTGGATCTATTCAAGGCAGATCGTCACGTGTGTGCAATGTTGTTGAGGCTGAAATGGACAACTATGAACCATGTATTTATACAAAACGAGTTTTGGAAGCAGTTAAAGTTCTACGTGAACAAGGTTTGTATTAACACACTTACAATATTGTATTTTAGAAGGTTTATTCCAATGATACAATATACAAAGATATCTATCATTTTTTATCGAAGTCTTATAAATATAATGATAATTCCTGAGATGTGAAAGTAGAATTTTGTAAACAGAGTCGTATGATATATGTAATACTACTATTAATAAGCTAAGATGCTCATTATAAAATACTTACTATACTAAGATCAATCAAATATGCTTTTATTTTGCAGTAATGATTAAGTTTGAACAACGAGTTGATGCTGCGGTCGAGGCTCTCTCGGCTAATACCAATAAAAATGTGGATGAGAATGACTTTATCGATGCCTCCCGTTTGGTTTATGATGGCGTACGTGAAATTCGGCGAGCAGTTTTAATGAACAGAGTAAGAATAAATATATTTAAATTTTACATAACACAATATGTCTTACCAAACACTGTAAATAATTGAAAATATCTAAATCGGACCTAATCGAATTAGTTTGAGATTGCAACCGAGTCTCTTGGCATATCCTTATGGCATTTTATACGCTTAATGGTAAATTGGCATCTTATTGAAACTGTGAGGACTTTTCCCAAATGACCAGAAGCTAGATATGTCTTGCTCAATCAGCTGAGCCTTTACATTCTGCGACTTTTTGGAAATTTTAAGTTTAAGTTTGAGTATTTTATGATGAGCTACAACGTCAAATATCTATTTATCGCTGGGTGTGCTCATAGTTCAAATCGAAATACTTCCTTATAAATCTTCCATTAACTCTGTTAGTTTTTTTCGCATAAATTAATAGGGGTTGATTCCGTTTTTACAATTTAATGATATATTACTCTGAGATGAAACTAGTTTTCATTGGCAAAGTTTTGAATGTTATGTTAATAATATCAATATCTGCTCTCTGCCTTTACAACGTATAAATGAATGTTCCATGTTTATCTTAATTTCCTTTTTATTGCAGAGCTCCGACGATCTAGATACTGACACAGAATTTGAACCTGTCGAAGACCTAACATTGGAAACCCGCAGTCGATGTAAGCATATTCTTTTACTCTATTCAAACAGTATATAAAGTTGTTCGACGTTGTACTTTTAATAATAATAACATTTAATTTGCTTTAATTAATTTCCCTTTACAGCAAGCGCTCATACTGGTGATCAAACTGTTGACGAATATCCGGACATCAGTGGCATTTGTACTGCTAGAGTAAGAGAATCAGTGTTAAGAAGCAACATTCAACTTTAATGGTTTGTTATGTTAATTAATTAGGAAGCGATGCGTAAAATGACGGAAGAGGATAAGCAAAAGATTGCTCAACAGGTTGAACTATTTCGTCGTGAAAAACTTACTTTTGATTCAGAGGTCGCGAAGTGGGATGACACTGGCAACGACATCATTTTCTTGGCAAAGCATATGTGTATGATAATGATGGAAATGACGGACTTCACAAGGTAATTTAATGATTTATCATTAAAATTCTGTACTTCACCGTTTTTATGATCGTTTATAAAATAGAAATACTATAGCTTTTTAAATACTATATAAATATATAAAAGGCAAGGTAATGCATATATATTTTTCTGTTTTAGAGTTTCGAAAATACTGTCTTAAGCTTTTTGGTCAAAAATGCTTCAATATAATATATACATATTTTATTATGGGAGTGCATAATTTAACCTCAATTTTATAAAAAAAAATACATTAGCTGAGCTAGTCATAGCCTTCTTGTAGTGCAAAACTAAAGGAAATGTAGATATGCATTGCCAGTAAATATCTATTAAAAATCCGGGATCGATAAGCATTTCGATCTTTTTTGAGCATCACACAATATAGCTATATGTATGACTAGATTAATTTTCTTTACAAGTATATAACTAACAAAGCACACCACAATAATATAAATATAAATTTCTTTTAATAATCATAATTTATATCCATTAATTTATGAAGTCCTGGCAGCTAAAAAGCGTTTAATATTTTTCTTAAATTTGTAGAGGCCGTGGTCCTTTAAAGACCACCATGGATGTAATCAACGCCGCCAAAAAAATATCCGAAGCTGGTACTAAACTGGACAAGCTAACTCGTGAAATAGCAGAGCAATGTCCAGAAAGTAGCACTAAGAAAGATTTATTAGCATACTTGCAACGCATTGCTCTTTACTGTCATCAAATCCAGATAACGTCTAAGGTTAAAGCGGATGTCCAAAATATAAGCGGCGAATTGATCGTTTCAGGGGTAAGAAATCGTAACTTGCTTGTTTTCACTTTATTAAAGTTTTGCTCTGGACTTCTTTCAGCTGGATAGTGCTACTTCTTTGATTCAGGCAGCTAAGAATCTAATGAATGCTGTCGTGTTGACCGTAAAATATTCTTACGTGGCGTCAACTAAATACACAAGACAAGGAACTGTTACTGTAAGTTTACTTATCACATTTTTTCTTCGTATTATTCCGATGCCCATTATCCTAACAAACATTGCATAAATATGGTGAAAAATGATTATCCTATGCTAATAAATGTTCTGCATATAATTTATAGCGGCAAAACGCCGACAGAAACATAAGAATTTCCCAATAAATATTTTGATTTATAGGAGCAGAAGAGTTGATCCGTTTTGCAAAAAAACGTTGACTTATTGTGAATTTCGATAAATGAATATATTAAATATAGCTTTTAACAATAAATTAATATTAACATGACTCTTCTATTCCTTTATTAAGTCTCCTATCGTGGTATGGAAAATGAAGGCGCCAGAGAAAAAACCCCTAGTGCGGCCTGAAAAACCAGAGGAAGTTCGGGCTAAAGTTCGAAAAGGATCACAGAAGAAAGTTCAAAATCCAATTCACGCCCTTTCTGAATTCCAGAGTCCCGCTGATGCTGTTTAAGGGACATAAATTGAATATTATAATTTAAAGTATTATATACCCACTTGATACAATTTTATTATATAAATGTATTTCTAAACGGTAAAAGTTTAATGTTATCATCAAAGATATATATTTTACGATTGCCCATAATAAATAATTATATAGTAAGAGCCGTTTGTCCTGACTGACTAACTGGCTTTATACATTTTTGATTTTATTTCTAAAGCAAGAAACGTTATTTAAGGGAGGTTGCTTGCATTCTTTTTAATTTTGTATTATATTACATAACCAAGTAATTTTATTTGCTATTTGTAAATTTAGGGCCCCAAAATAGTTTGTTTGGTTTATTCTGCAATCAAAATTGATTTATGGAGTCCAGGTGTGAGAGAAAGTGGCTTACGTTGTATTCGGATATAAGTATCTATGAGTAATATGGAAGGTAATTTATAGAAAATTAATAAGAAAGGACGTATATGACTAGCTTAATTCATACCCGAAACCATTGTGTACCTTTGTAATAATTTCGTTGACTTTGTTAACAAGTTTATATTCCAAATCCTCATTCGATAACAGCGAAATGCTATGCAGTAAGAACATTTCTCAGCATTCGCAGAAGCGATAAGCAAACAAATTATTACCAGACTTACATATATATTATATTGAACTAGGGTTATAAGGTTACATATAACAAAATAAATAAACAATATATTTAAGGCTTAAAAATAAAATTCAAATAATTTTATTGGAATTGAATGTTAAATTTTTATTGAAGTTTAAATTAATTCGCATATCCGCGCCCATCGACATTTGCATCAGTTAGCTTTTGTCTGCATGTATTTTTCACTGCTTGCTTTGTTGGTCCATAAAGAAGCAGCCATTTTCCTAGTTTCAAATCTGCTCAAAGTAACGTTAAATCAATAATTCATTTTGCATATTTGAGCGTGTCGGGAAATTAATATAATATAAATTGATGATGCGTTTAAGCTTTATTCAAATTATAAATTTTTTAAATTGGAATATTAAAAAACTTTGTTTTCAAAATTCGATTTCAATCGACTAGAAGTTTTCTAAGTTTATTTAAATTTACATCGATGGGGCAAGAAGAGTTGTCGATTATTTACAGCAAACTAGATTTGATGATCTCAGAGAGATAGGCCGCAGTCCAAATAACAGTTATTTTATATGATGTGCCTGCTGAAGCATCATAAACGTCTTAAAGCCCAAATTTAAGAAAGCAGTTAAGAATTTATTTACATTTTTATAAAATTTTAATCTTCATTTCACTAGCAATGCAGCAGGTATTAAGGGTTACGTTTTTATTTTATGTGGTCTGTTAAGTCTTTTTATATAAACACAATTCAAATACAGCTCCACTTTTACTTTTAAATTGATAAATATTACTGGTTCGATCGATCTTCCAGGTAAGGAAATTCAGGGAATTCACATCTTTTTGACTTATGACAAGGCTAGGTATTTACTTTCATTTACAGTAATTTAGTTTTTCAACAATTTTAAACTATTTTGCTACTAACAAACGGTTTTGCTGAGTCGGGGTCCTTTAGCCTGTGAAAATCTCAATCGTCGAAGATAAAATAAACAAAACCATTAAAAATAACATTGAAAATAGTACAATTATTTAAGTATAATTATTCTTCATGCTTCTTGAATTACAAAACTACTACTAGTTAACGGGTTATCCTCTTTCGGCACACTTCGAAACTCTTCCTTTGCAATGTTGTCACCTGAAAAAAAACATTACAAGCATAACAATATCATTAAAATATATATTAATTATTTCCAAATTAAAAATAAAAATATACTTTTACTAAACCTAACTTAATAAATATGACGAATCGGTTTCAAGGCTATCTATAGATATCTGATTCATTCGCAGGAGAGGTAGGAACTTTCTTTTTTATAAAATGGACACATACATGGCTTAAGCCATAATATATATATATATTCTGGATTAGGAGAAACAATCGAGTCGATTAAGCACCTTTCGTATGCATAAACTCATAATCTGTTATTTTTTAAATGGTTTAATCCAGTTATAGGTAGTGCTCAAACACAAGGATGTGTACCAAAGGAGACCCTACAACAATATTTATCAATTGAATCAATGGAAACGAGACAATGGTGAATGTGATTCGAATCGAACTTAATTCGCCCCTATATACGACACATCGGGATAGTAAATAATGGGAGCTCCATGAACACAATTAAATGGGATATAACTTACATATGTCTGGAATGTCGGTCTCCATATGTTCTTTATTTGATTTATTCTCATAGATGCTACTGTCGTCTAAAGCACAGTCGTCATCTATGTTATTTGAGTTTTCAATTTTTCTAAGTTCAATTTGTAAATCTTCTCTGCGTCGTTCCATTAGATCTTCTAACTCGCATTTACTTTTATTGAGCAGTTTTTCTGTTTGTACCGTATGCATTCGAGGTTGAAAATATATGTGAGGCTTTGTTTTTGTACGAATTTGATTTTGTTGATAAGTCATTGATGATTCCCAAGTTTTAAAGTCTTTGAGGCGTGCCATTTTCTTTTCCAAACATTTGATTTCAAGTTGCTTACGCTTCCTATCTAAAAATAATGTATCACGCTCTTTTTGAAGCAGGGCTCTCTCTTGTAGTTCTTGATTTTCTAATTTTTTTTCAATTAAGGCTTTTTTATCCTCAGTTTTTTTTAACCGCGACTCTTCTTGGCAGAATTTTTGTAATGTTCCCAAAAGTGAACCAAACATTCGACGGTTGCGTGCTCTCGACTCGGAATCGATTCCTTGAGCTTCAACAATTTCCTCCCTCGATGGCAATTCTCGAATTACACGTGAATTCAGCCGAGGGGTTGGTAGCCACAATTCGTCCTTGTCCGAATGCCGATTAAATACCATTTTTCCATCGTGCGTTCGCCGCTTTTGTTTTAATGGGTCGTGCCGTTGGCTGCTTTTATCTTCATTTTGTTCATTCTTCTTGCTTAAGATATCTGGATTGTATTTCTCTACTCTAAAAAATAAACACTCGTAACATGTATTCTCTTCGATGTTTTGAAATAAATACCTAGATTCTTTTAGTCCTCTTCCAACAAGGCGGCGAATATTGTCATTTAGCGAGATTAACGACCGTCTGGCGGAGTTCAATTTTGTCTCCAAGTCCCCAACAGAGGATAAAGCAATATTGTCTTCCATCTTAAAATAAAAAAATTATGCTTGGATAGATGAATTTTACTAGTTAAAGGTGATAGAATTTCGTACGATATACCTATCGATATTTTAGGGATGGCATCTTATGAATGTATATTACAGGCATGCCCGATGAAAAAAATAATTAAAATTAATTCTTTGAGATATTTTTCAATTTGCTTATAGTTTTAAAACTTGTATTTGGTATTCTTATTATTTCTTATACATAATTATTCTGATTGTATGATGATTGTGACAGTCGAATTATTAGTATGTAAACGTTATAGGTAAGAAAATCATTTTATATGCTGAAAAAATTATTGTGTCTGGCTGAACAATATAAGATTATAATATGTGAGAAATCAAAACAAATAAAATAATCAAATGATTACTTTATTCATTCTTGAAGCCGACTTGCCATCATAAAATATATACAAAATGAATACGCAAAAAGTAAAAATGGGTCGAGTTTAGACAGCTACCATTATTATAATGCAATCAAAAGATTTTTTAATTTTAATTTTCTGATTTATGTCAACCAAAACTTCATTTGTTTTGTAATTTCAATTATAAAATCTGTATGTTGAATATAGTATTCATTTTCATTTTCAAATTTACTTGGGTCAGATTAATATGATTAAAAATAATTAATGTCTTATTTTATGAATTGAGTATATGTTACATAAGTATTATCCAATTCCATCGTTCCAAAAAGCCGCTAGTCATATAAAATCTAAATGAAATTAAATATCCAAATTGTATATTGTTATCGATAAGCTGTGAGCGCAAATCTTGTTTTGGTCATAAATATATTTGAAAAAAAGTAGTTCTCAGTTTCGTGATTGTATGTGAATAAACTGAAAACTTATATTATTTAGTTTCGTTTGAAATATAAAAACAAAGAAAAAGATCGGCAATGTCTGGTTCAGATTTACTTTCGGCAATTGTTCTGAATGATTTAAAGGAGATTGGCATTAAACATAAAGGGAAAAAACCAAAAATTATAAAGGTAGTTTAATAATATTAAGATTTATTATTTTAAAATAAATGATTTTTATGTACATATCTATAGAATTCGAGCGGTCAGCGATTGTTTCATCAAGGATTGGAACATTTAAAGTTGACTGACGCATTTCTTGCAAGCGGCACAGTGGTTCAGGTACCTCAATTTATCACAGAAGCCTGTAGCTATATTTTGGAGAATTCTGAAACGGAGGGTATTTTTCGTAAAGCTGGCTCTGCTGCAAAACAACGAGAAATTCGAGTAAAATATATATCCATTCAATTGTTTTGTTTACTATTTTTCAAATGATAATAATTTGCAGAAATATCTTGAAGCTGGGCAACCATTGGGAAAACTATATCGCGTGATTGATGTGGCCAACATCGTTAGCTATTTTTTTCGAGAACTTCCCGAACCGCTTATACCGGTCGAGTTGCATGAAACACTTGTAAGATGTCTGATGATTGGTGAACCCAATCGAATCCGATCAATACAGCTGGCATGTTTGTTAATTACCCCATTAAATGTGCATACTTTGGCTTATTTTATGCAATTTTTACAAACCATCACACGGCATGTAAAGTATAATAAAATGAGTGCTGAAAATTTGGCAATCGTAATTGCTCCAAGCGTTATGCCCTACCGTGATATAAATAGCGTACGGTTTAAGAATCATATCAAATTAGTCGAATTGCTAATAAAGAACTCAAACATTATTGGAACGATCCCTAGTTATATTAAAGAGAAACTCAAAAATACGTCGAATTCTCAGCAAACCAAAAAGTCAGGCGGTGTCAACTGTTCAGCCATCAAAAGCAAAATGAGGCGAAGTCGTAAGTATACAAATATTTATTTGAGAACATCATTAAATCACTGCCTTCAATTAGATATATTCAATGGCTTGAAAACAATAGTTGGGTCGTCTGCTAATGCAACTGGACACGTTCACTCGTCTCCAAAATCAGATGTTAGTTCGAGAGCTTTGCATAAAGCCAAATCGCAACAGAATTTCATGTTTGAGCCCATGGATACTTCATCCGGTATAGCCACAAACACAGAAGCTTTTACTAAATCTGAAAGTGCAGTCAAGGAAAACAAAGAGTAAGTAATTTATATACCTTAAAGAAAAGTGTGTAAATTTTTAAGCTTATGTACGATAATAGAAATAGAATTGTGCTTTGTCCAAAATATTAATTTTTTAATATTAATTGGTTAGACATCTAATCAAACTAGAACCATTGTGCTGCTCTCTTCTATTAATAATATTGATTATTTTTCATATTTAATATTTATTTATGTATTTGTATATATTTTATATTTTCAGTAGGCGCAGACGGTCAAACTTATTCGCTGGAAATGAAGGATCTATCAAACCAAGTTCATGTCCATCTACTTTAAGCGGCACGGACCGAAGATGGAGTCTTATTAGTACAGGATGGACAAAGAGTAAAAAGAAGGAAAAGATATTACAGAATCTTAATATATCAGTTTCTGATACAGTAGAAAACAAAGATCCTATCAGTGAGACTAAATCAAAAGTGAGTCCCACTATTTCAAAAAGAGAATATGACGCTATTGCAGATCGTCTAGCGACAATTAACACTAATGTTCCAATTCAAAAACTTAGCTGTGCCAAAATCCCTAGCACTAGCTTAAAGACTTTTGAACAAGACAATGAAAAATCTCAACGACCTATTCGAAAAAGTATCAACAGAAATTATTTGAATACACCAATAAAACTAAAAACATTACAGAAAGTAAATACTCCCACCAGCATTAGCAGGCACAAGACCTGGCATCTTAGTTCAGAAACTAAGTTTGCCAGTAAACTGCCCACACCTAAAATACAAAACACAGATATAGTTATGACAGATGTTTCGGCTAGAACACCCAAACAACCAGAGTCTAACTGCGAACAATGGTTGCCAGCTAATATATTTTTTCAAAATTCAGCTGTAAAAGAAAATAAAGACAAATTTTGCACACAAAGTAATGATTCAGAATTATTGCAAACTCCATATTCTCATTTCAAAAATAAAAATCGAGTCAAAAATGTTACTGGTCCCTTTAAGACACCAATAGGCCATAAAAAGTCTTTGGCTTTTGGGTCGGCCATTCATATGTTTGATGTGGATCAAGGGCGTGAATCCATTGCCCGTCTTCGAACTGAAAATGCTGGAATGGTTTTAGCGAAAGCAAAGTTATTCGATGACTTTAACAGCTGAATAGCTGATAGTTGATATTAAATTTAAAAAAATAATGAAATGCTTGTAATAAAGTTTAAAGTCAAGCAGATAACATAGTACAAAATTTAACTACCTTTAAATAAGTCGATATAATAAAATACAATAATATAATATAATCTATAATAATATAATCTAATTTAATTTAATATAATTTGAATAATTACGATTAAGCACAGCTGTCAAAAAAGCTTAAATAAATCAGAAATTCATTAACATTCTTATTCTAATATTTAATTAAACAAGATTGGGTAATAGCTACTTGCTCTTCGCACTAATCAAGTATAGTTAATCTGTGGATGTGAAAATAAGAACAGCTTTTTATCCAGTCCTATAATTTGCACAATTAATATCATTTTATCTATCTACCAGAAGAAGGTCATGGCGTTTGATCAATGAAAAATGTTTTGAGAATATTTTGATCCTCAAGACCACATTTTATTTTCCAAACAAATAGTTCAAAGAGGAAATAACAAAGGCTATTCAAATTTTCCAGCTACAAAACTGCATTAGATAAAGCTTTAATCCCACTGACGATGGACACTAATATGGATATTACACAAATCTAATATATTCTTTTCTTTAATCATTAATCGAGCTACAAAATGTGTTTATAGATTTGGCAATGCTTAACTTTCTATCATCAAAAATGGTAATTCAAAATCTCAAAAAAATTGGACAGCCAATATTTAATTACTGATTAAACAATGTTGATATAATAAATATAATATATAATATAAAATCCGAAAGATAAGAGTTAAAATTTTCGTTAATTGACTTTTCAATTATTTATTCACAATACGTTATTTTATACAATAAGCCATGCATGTTATTCGTTATCATTGATCCTCTTCTACCAATCTTGGTTGCTCGCAAGCTGAAATGATTTACTGTTGTCTGTATAGAACTGCGCATACCATTTTCGAAACTTTTTTAGGGAAGATTCTTCCGATACAAGCAGTGGGCTGCTCCTATACGTCTTATGATTCCATATTTTCATATCCCGCTCGAACTGAAATAAAGAAAGTTAGTTCAACATTTTGTGGTACTATTTAACGTACCATAACAGTTTCTCCGAAAATTAAAAACTTTATAAAAGGAGCCATCGATCGAGGGGCATAAAATCTGTGTACCACTTTTTGCAATAAGGGCTCTACTGGAGTGACAGTTTGAAAGATTTGGAAACTTCCAAACGTTGGGGAGTGCAAAGTGAGATGAACGTAAGCTGGTCCAATCTGTGAGACAAATGCAGTTGGCTTAATGTCACTAGAAAAAATATTCAAAAATACCTGTCTTCCGACTACAGTCATTCGAAAACATGGAAATTTTCCAAACAGATCAAACGTATGACTCATCTTTGTTTCAGCTATGTACTTGTCCGCTGAAGAATTCCAACTAAAATTCAATATTAGCAATAAAATTGAGACATGTTCTTTCTTTCGAATATACCTTGCCTGCCACTGATGGTATCCGAGCTTGCCAAATATACTGTTCTTCTGATCAGAGCTGCCGGTCACAATATTATCATTGTGAATTGCCTTGAAGTGCGCCAGGTCAGCACCATTTTCCGGTATGTCTTGAATATGGCAGGTAACATAAAATTCATTTCGACCCTGGTAAACTAATGCATTGCTTTCAACTTCGATGGATTTTGGAAGGTCCCACGGAATTTCAGATCCTTCGACACTATACCAAACAAATATAAACCCATTGGCTTCTTTGGAAGTCCATTTCTTTATTTTTGTGGCCGGAGGTACTGCAAAGTGCAAATTGAAACAATTTCTTAAATAAAAAACACAAAGGTAAACAGGCTTACCGCTAGTGCTGTAAGGAATGTTAGTACACATTCCATCACTTCCTCTAAAACTCCAGTGGTGAAAGGGACATTCAATGTTGTCCCCAACGACTCGGCCACCAATGCTCAAGTTGGCTCCCAAGTGTGGGCAATATGCATCCAATATAAAAACTTCATTTTGCTTAGTGCGATATGCTATAAGCTGCTCTCCTAAGCAAGATATGTGAGTGGATTCACCAGCACTCAGTTTCGATGATTCCAGAATTCCATACCATCCATTGGGGAATGGAGGAGGTAATTCCTTTGCCCCGATTGCTCGCGATCTTCTCAGACGATTGATGGCCGCTCGCTTGCTGTTGCATCTTACATTTTTTCCAGTTTGTGACAACTGCCCGTCATCCATATGCTTCAAAGAGGTTATAAACAAAAGAAGTCGAGATTCGTTTATGAAATCTAAAACCATTTATTTTTATAATTATAATAATTATTAATAATTAAAATACAATTTCTTAATTTATTTTTTATTTTTTAAAAGCTTATAATATATACGGTTCACAAATCTAATATATAAACAAGTAAGAAAGCTCTAGTCGGGGTGCCCGACTAGGAGATACCCTGATCCCAGTCCTTTGAGTTTTGTAATATTTTCCGTAGTTTGTATCGAGTATTAAAAAAAAAAGAAAACAAATAAAAATCGACATTGCGAGACCAGGATTCGAACCCGGATTATTTGCGCAACGTGCACAAACTCTACCAACACCGCCACTTCATAACTAAAAAAAAAAAATAAATAAATAATATAAAACAATAAAAAACATTTCATCTCCTCTGGTCTCGAACCCGGACCAAGCTGCATCCGAGAGGTGCCTCTACCAACGCAGCCACTGCCCTTCTTACGCGAGCTGTTGCAAATTTGAACATAAGTAGCAGCTAATAATTCAGCACAATTCAATCGCAATTTCAATTCTTGGAATAGAAAAGTATACACGCATTTGAATGTATGTGTGCACACGCATAGGAAAAATGCGTGCGCGTGGCGCTGCTGACATGTGCTTTTGCAAATTGGCCAAACGTTTTGTTTAATAACTTCTGTTTTACTTAATGGATTTTAATGAAATTTTCAGCATATGATCTACATATCCTATTGGCTTGGTTGAGATGCAAACGCCTTCACATAATGGCCCTAGTTCCAACTAAACTTAAATTCTAAGAATTTGGGGGAATTTGGAGCCGGTATCCAAAATCCAACAAAAATCAAAATTGCATAAAATATACATAACACTAAATACAAAATTTGGAGGCTCTAGCTCTTAAGACGTTCGAGATATAATTTATTTACTGCATTTCAATAATGTTTTTATTCGATAACAATTAAATGCGAATAGTTATCGAATATTTGAAACAAACTTGACCTGCGCGTGCTATACACGGACCTACAAAAAAAATTTCAAGTCTCTAGCTCTTATAGATGCTGAGATCCACGCGTTCACACATACGGACAGACGGACAGACGGACAGACGGACAGACGGACAGACGGACAGACAGACAGACGGACAGGGCTCAATCGACTCGGCTTGTCGTCCTGATCAAGAATATATATACTTTATGGGGTCTGCCACGCCTCCTTCTGCCTGTTACATACATTTGCACAAAACCATTATACCCTGATTTCCCATTTTTAATGGGATCAGGGTATAAAAAATACCATTTCCGGAACAATTAACAAATTCTATATTCCAGTGGCTGCTGAAAAGAGTTAAAGAGAGACGTACCTTAATCCAATTGAGGGGCACAAAAAATAGCCAATACAGCACAACACTCAGAATAATTCCCAAGCAAAGCACTATAAAAGTTTTAAGATCAATAAGTGACAATATTATTAGGCACTGATCAGACTTTATTATTGATTTCAGGTCGTACAGAATTGATAAAAAATTATTCTTTTCGAATTCCATTATATAATTATTTTATTTTTTTATTAAATATTTTAGTTAAAAGTTAGCGTCTAGTTAGCGTCTGAGTATGTCCCGTTGTTTGTTGTTTAGCTAAGCCTTTTGAAGAGAGAACTGACTGTTTTTAAATGGAAAACAAAATAATTCAATTCGTATATAAATGTTGCCCGAAAATTTGTATGCAAGTATAATGAAACGTAACAAATTCTATTGCGTGCTATTGACTACTGGGAATATATTGGAATAAATAAAGAACATTGTCTTCGGTGCTGAGCTGCTTAGCTAATACTCTTTTTCATATTCCCTCTTATTCGAACCCTAAATTTGACGGCCTCGCCTGTAGATCTGAGCAGACGCAATTTAAATGCAGGAACATCTCCTATTGGGTCAGACAGATGAACACCGATATTATGAATTGCCAATTGATAGTTCGATTTTGTCTGTTACAAACATTTGCACCAAATCAAATTTCAAATTTCGATCTTCTATCAATGGGTACGGCGTATTCAAATTCAGTCGGTTGATAAATTCCAAATGTATCCGCACTAATAAAGTGAACTGACTAGCAGTAACCGTCAGCATTAATCTTTTCGATGGCAATACTTTTTTTTCGCTGAATTTATGAGAGCAATTTCAAGTTGCTAATTGTCTTAGTAAATGTTAAATAAACACATTAAAATATAAACTAAATTAATTAACGGCTTTCTCATCTAGAAGGCCTCTTTCTTTATGCTTCTTTCAATCTAGGATTAGAGGCTTCTAAATCAATCAATCTTATTTATTGATTGATTAATTATTTCCAACTGTCCTAGAAAGAGTAGATGTGATAGAGATCATATATCAACTTTCAAAAGCAACAATTTGACATATAATAATATATTGTTAATGATTCTAGTCTACTTCCTGTATGTCTTCTATGACAAAGTTGTCATCTTATACAAATATTTCTGCAAAGAAGGAATTAAGATTTGCCTCTTTAAAAGGTATAGCAAATTCTTCAAATACATGGGATACATATTATCAGTAAAACAGTGAACCACGAATACTCTTTTGTAGTCCGAAAACAGCTAAACCTATTCAAAAAACACGAAATCATCGAGTTTGCCAGCGAGAATATAATTTATAGTTCTAGCTGTAGAGAAATTCTATCTTGATCAATCTGAATAACATGATGTCTTTTGATCTGTAAATGTGAAATTTGTTTGACCTGGATATAAAATTTGTTAGTAGCCTGTAAAGAATAAAAAAATATAATCTGTATTGATTCATTTCTAAGTAAGATACGGGTTTTTCGACTTATCGCGCCCAAAACTAAAACTGATATATCACTTGCTTGCAATCTATAAGGAATAGAGCCATATCACTTACCAAACTTAGGGTTTCTAGATGTAATACTATAAAATATACATTTCTTCCCGATAAAATTTGAAAAATAAAGCTTGAATATTTTTTTTAATCTTATCTTTGTATTAGAAATGATTCAGTAACTTAATCATTATTGCCGACTCGATATATAGGGAAAACTTGATGGTTTCCGAAACGAAACTCATAGCTCTTTCATCCTCAAAATCCAAAATATGTGTGTCAAAGACCACCAATTACTGTATTGACTGTGTTTTAAAGGTGCTGCCATGGATGTTACCATAATAAACTTTCTTCGAAATTACGGCGGCATATTTATTAGTCCAGCTCTTTCAGTTCCGACCGGATTTTAACGTTCCGCATTTGGTTAAGTATGGCCTTGAGTAACGAAATCCCTAAATTGAGTATATTACAGAAATCGAAATCAAAGAAAGGAGTAAAACGAAGAGAATGAAAATCATTAAGTGGACATCTGGGTTTGTGTCCATTATTTTCTTAACCGATACACATCAGCTTGGATGTTTCGCGCGACGGTCGGTTGACGACAGTATCTACGAGTGTTTTCCGTCTGTATAGTCGACATCCTTAAATATTCGGAACAATATTCAAAATCTGAAAAGAGGCAATAATCCACTCTGCTTTCTCAGATTATCTTCTAACTTTTTTCCTCTTTACAGCTGGAAAAATTCCTTTCATCAAACAGCACAAACCTGCAGCGGAAAACCATTGCCGAAATTCTGATAGGCCCGCCTTGTGTATACAATCAAATCGTTAATGTTTCCGTTTCGCAGTGGGCATAGACCAACTGTGAAATGGAATAAATCAGACATAATAATATATGATATATAACATAATATGAAAAATATTTCAATCCTATTCCCTTTGTGTGTCCTCACTTTAAAAAAAAAAAACATTGAAACAAAAAAACATGCAAAATCTGGAAGTATGTTAAAGGTAAGAGGAATGCTTTAGGTGATCAGCTTACTCTTCTAATCAATTCTGAATTTTTTTTTTCAGAAGAATATTGGTGTTAATGTTATGGAACAGAGATAATATAGAACTTTTGGCAATGGAGTATTGAAATTCACTGTTCAAAAAGAAACAATAACTATAAAAGTAGCTATAATAGTCAAGCAAACGTCAAAGCGCTAAATAATGTATATGACTCCCGGTTGCCCTTTCAGAATGGAAAATGATCTGGTCTAAAAAGTGTTTCATAGTAATAGAATACCTACTCGCTAGAAAAAAATGTCAACCTTATTGAGTCATTTGCTTATTAAAATTATGATAAACACCGCTATAATCATGGTGACACCATGCGAGATCGTCAGTTAATTAGTAAAAAAGCGGCTTGTCTTAGTGCCCTTTATAGTCTTGATACCCGATATATTAAAATCAATATTATCAAAAAAATATGTAAAAATAAAAATTTGTAAAAATACAAAAATTGGGAAGGATGCACAAATGTTAAGCTGACCTAATTTTGATTTTTTTTAAATATTTCAACAAGCAGAATTTAGAATCAAACCTGAGACCGTTAGATTAAGGCAATGCAAACCGATATTACTTCATTGATGTTTCATTTTTACTGCTCTTTTTTAAAGTGACTTATCAACTAATTTATCATATATATAATTGTTTTAAAATTTCTTAGAGTTTTTACTGTTTATTGAACTTAAATACCGTTGACTACCTTTTTTTCATATCAGGAGTGAAATACAATTATAAAAAACTATGAGTTATCAGCATATAATTGTCAATATTGTGAATATGTGCTTCTAGTACATACATTAATATATTTAAGACTAAGTTAACTAAGAGGATTCACATCGGAATAAAAAAAAATAAAGCAAATATTAAAGCTTTAAGTTCATAAAACATGGTCAACAACGTGTTATACAAATTTAAAATCTACTTTCAACTCAGAATAAGATTGCGTCATCAGATTATATTAATAAACTTTAATAAACGGAAATGACTACATTAAGAATTTCATATTAATTTTATCATTTCCCTTAATTTGTTTTTGAAAATATTTACTATTTTCTAAAGACTTAAGTAAAATTTCATCAATTACCACAAAATAATTTGAACTCTTATTGCATCATTAGAAAAAAGGTCTTTTAATTTGGATGAACTTTTTCAAACCTAAGAATATGATTTATTGTTTTTTTTTGTTTGCTTTAACGTTAAATGGAATGAAATAAGCGGATGTAGAATGAGTCTAGCCATGTTCGCCTATTCCTTCCGCATGAACCCCGTAATATCAAGAGTCACAAAATCTACAGGCTTTAATTTTTAAATATATATTTCTGCATACGATACACACTAAGAGTTTATCATTTTCGATAAATCATCCTATTTTCTTATAATAAATAAAATTGCAAAACTTAACTTTGTTTTTTAAGCGTAGCTTGAATGCTACAAAATATAGTAAAATCCAATTTATTAAGAGGGTTTCCATAATAAATACACAATTTTGTATACTAAGGTTTTTGGATTCCGTTTTCCCTTCCCAAAAACGCATTTCAAATACTAAAGCCTAAAGCTTTGAAAAATTCACACATATGAATATAAATGCGGTTGGCGTCAACACAGTACTTGTTTTTTTTTTTGAGCTCTTGTTATCATCTATATAGAACAAAACTCTTAGACTCTTAGTCAAATCAAAAAATGTGAATTTAACGAACCTCTATATTCTGATTAATTTTTTTTATTCTGATTGCGCTGCTTACTAAATGGCTTATAATGATTCTCGCTCGCTGCAATATTTAAAACTTCTAGCGAATTCTGTTCTGACAACTTGTTTTTGTATTTTTTTTTTTTTTTTTGGTTTTTTTGTATGATGTAAAAATTGTACATTTCGCATTATTTAAAAGAGTAAAACACTTGTTGGTTCAACATAAAAAAATATTATTTAAAATTTTTTTAAAGGGTAATTAAATTTCTTTAAATGACGCTTGCATTTTTTTGTGGTTGCTTTTGATGGAAAGCTCCCTGTATTTCCATTTGACAATAAAATGATCTTGATTTAAAAATTCAAATTCTATAAATTTTATGTGAGTCGCTAATTCAAATTATTATTGGCTTCGTATGTATGCAAAGTAAGCAATTACTGTATTGAGCAAATTTGTAAGCGCGCAATATGGAAAGGGTTTGAACTACTAACTTACAAAATTACAACCAAAGCTGAAAGAATGTCCAAAAAGTGCAAAATCTGTATTTTGCTCTTAATGTCACACGGCGGTTTTTTACGTCGCAACATTCTTGCTGACCTAAGCTTGAGCTCCAAATATTATGATCATGATATGCAGCTATGCGTGATCAGTGATCACAGTTCGTTCTTAACATTATTTCATTTGCTATTTTTTTTCATATTTTATCTAATAATTTTATAATTATAATCCGAAATCCTAAAATTGCCAGAACAAATTATTATTTTGGTAGGCAAAATAAATGAATAAAATAAAAAAAATAAAATTTGAACAAGTCCAGCCTTATCCAATTTTTGGCACCACTCTAAGGCTCAATTTGTTTTTATTTGGATTGCATATGAAATCATGTGTCTGAAGTTAAAATATACATACATACCTATATATAGGCATACAGATGTATGCATACAGCTACAAGTTCTCGTAAGGCTGTATGTATGTGTATGCGTATGTCTGTATATGAGTACGTATTTATAAATTTGTTAAACAAACAGTTGCAGTATAAGTGTTAAGCGTTAACTTTCATGCAATTCTGATTATGTTTGGGCGCTTCAAAGCTATCAGATATGCATATAAAAGGTTTGTATCAGCAGATAGCATACCGTTGTATGGAAATACTCACACACACACGCTCGAATCAGCGTATGTACATATTTACAACGGGACATACATATTTATGAATGTACTTGCGGGCATTCTGACTTCTCGGCACTTGAATAAAACGTAAGAAAGAAAGTGCTGTGAAAAGCAAATATTCTTCGATCGCGAGGCAAGAACATTGCTCGTTTCTGGTGCTAAATATAAAAATAAAAAAATCGTGGAGCATTTTTATTTTAGCTTAAAATAAAATACAAAATATTTAATAGTTTAAAAGCAATTTTTACTGAAATTAAACCAAAGACATCGTATTAGAAGTAAAATCATGTTTTTCCTAATGTTCTATGTTATAACTGGCATATTACTAGTAGCAATAGTCACATCCTACGCTATAATCATTCTAAACTGCCAGAAAAGAGCAAATGTCAGCATAGAAAATACAAATTCGATAAAAGTTAAACGCAAGCTTCTACAAGCACCTGGTCCACGTCCTTGGCCGATTATCGGAAACTTAGATATAATTGGTCAATTTAACAATCCGTTCCAGGGTTTTGGAGCATTGACAAAAAGCTATGGCGATATTTACACTTTAACACTAGGTCACACGCGTTGCCTTGTCGTTAATAACTTCGAGTTAATAAAAGAGGTCCTGAATAAGAATGGAAAGTTCTTTGGTGGGAGACCAGAATTCCTGCGTTACCACAAGCTCTTCGGAGGTGATCGCAATAACTGTAAGTATTTTTTAACAATAATATAATATCCTTACGTAATCTATTAATGCAGAAAAAGTAGAACACTTGTAATTTTATCAGAGCGATAAAAGCAAAAAAAAAAGTGATGAGAAAGCTTTTAAAAATCATTTAATGTAGAAAGATTAAACGGTAATACTGACTTCAGAGGCAATTTACTTTGTAGTCTCTATATTCTTTTTTTCCTTTGGTATACAATTCCTCTTTTACCTTTGAAAATAAAAAAGGAATCTCTTGTGCAAGAGATCGTTAATGCAAGAGATCGTTACGTCCGACAGCATGAAAAGTTAGGAATATGTTTATACAATCCGTTGTGATACAGGTCAACTTTAAGATTTTATATTCTAAATATTAAAATTGCTTGAATATGAAATACAGTCTTCTCAGAGCCAGGTCTATATATATTAACTGTTTAATTCGAGCAATAATTTCATATGCCTGTAACGTAAAATTGCATAAAGGAATAATGCAAAAAAAGAATAAGCTTCGCTGTTAAAAATAAATTTATTGGCTACTTTAGCTATGCCATCTCAGCGTAATGTATTTTTAAACTCATCAGTAATCATAGTTACTAAAGCCGGAATAAGAAGAACTTATAACATTTTCTTCAACTTGTTTAATTACAAATTTTATTGAGCATCAAAATTTGAAATTCTTAGAAATTTTAATAAAGTATTCAATATGAATATTAACATTAACCAAAATAATAACTAATAACAGAAAAAATATAAATCATTTTAAAAACGATTTTGGAGATTATTTATGCTGATCTTCAGTTATTTGCGAAAGTTTTATACGTTTCAAGATGTAGAATAGTCAAACTAAGTATTTATACTTTATACCTACTTCGTGACTGACCCCATAAAGTATACATATTGAACAGGATCGAATATTTGAACAGAATCTATTAAGTTCCATCCGTCTGTCTGTATAAGCGAGTCTATCTCAGAAACTCTTCAACTTTTGTTTTTGATTCAAGTAGAAAACGTATTCGAAGTCCTTTTTGGGCTTAAGGATTATTTGGATATCCATTTGCAGATATACATTTTTTGCAAATTTGAACTTATATCTAAAATTGAAGACTTTCCATGTACTTTCCATGCACTACTTCTTCTCCTGCACTAACATTAAAAAAATAAAATAATGTGTCTCTTTGTGGAATTTTTGTTATGTATTACAAGGTATTATCTGCACTGACTGTCAGTTGGTATCCAATAGGAATAGAGGAGTTTTCTGCATAGAAATTGATATAACTCTAATGCGTCTTGTTAACAAAAACGTTGGCACCTTCCGGCAGGTTTCGTTAGATTTCCCATGTTTTTATAATAAACTGTAAATAAATATTTTATTTTTTAATGAGGATAGACTCGCTGAAAGAGTTGGAGTTAGATTTTGCCTGCAGATATCTGTTCGTCTGAATGCAAAATTGTAATATACAAATTTATATTATTAGTTTTACACTCTAATAAACCAATTTTATATGTCGAAATTCATAATACTATTTGTATCTTCTTGCAGCTCTTGCCCTTTGCGACTGGTCACTGTTACAACAGAAACGCAGAAATTTAGCCCGACGACACTGCTCGCCACGCTCGTCATCATCATATTTCGCAAAAATGTCTCGAATCGGCTGCAGTGAAATCACTAACTTACTGGATAATTTGAAAGCCTCCGTCGAGCCTGGCAAGCCCTTTGATTTGAAACCACTCATACTTAAGGCATGCGCCAATATGTTTAGCCAATACATGTGCTCAATTCGCTTTGACTATGAAGACAAGGAGTTTGAGCAAGTGGTGCAGTTCTTTGATGAAATTTTTTGGGAAATTAACCAAGGCTATCCACTAGATTTTTTGCCATGGCTCTTACCATTTTACATTAATCACACGCAAAAGATATGCCATTGGTCTACCACTATTCGGAAATTTATTTTGGAACGGGTTATAAATCGGAGAGAAATCAATATCGATGTAGATGAGCCAGATGTCGACTTTACAGATGCACTCCTCAAGAGTCTTGTTGAAAATAAAAACGTGTCACGCAACACAATTATTTTCATGTTGGAAGACTTTATTGGAGGTCACTCAGCGGTAGGAAACTTAGTCATGCTATCTCTCGCCTACATCGCCAAGGATCCTCTGATTGGCAAGAAAATTCAATGCGAAGTCGACTGCATATCGAAAAACAGTCAAAGAAGTATTAACTTGCATGATATGGATAAAATGCCCTATACCATGGCAACTATATTCGAAGTTTTACGGTACTCATCGTCTCCCATAGTACCCCATGTAGCCACCGAAGATACGCAAATATCAGATTTTGGCGTGACTAGCGGCACCATTGTTTTCATTAATAACTATATGCTCAACATGAGCCAGAAGTACTGGAAGGATCCCGATCTATTTCAACCCGAAAGATTTTTGGAAGAAAAATCGAACAGCGCCTCAACACCAGTCATATTTCACGGCAAGCGAAGGTGCTCCGAAGAATCAGATTCAGGTATTGAGTTCGAGAAGGAAGCAAGAATATACAATTCATCTATTGACAATCGATATGCTGAACAAGATATTAAAAACGACCCAGAAACTGGCAAATTGCAACTTAAAAAAAATATTCCCCACTTTTTGCCTTTTAGCATTGGCAAACGCACATGCATAGGCCAAAATTTGGTGCGTGGATTCGGATTCATATTGATAGCCAATATTTTACAAAACTATAATATAAATTGCAGTGATCTTGAGGCGATTAAGATAAAGCCAGCTAGTGTAGCATTACCTGCGAATTGCTTTCCCCTACTGTTGACACCTAGAGCATAGAGTTTGAATCAATGATAATAATAATGGTTGAAATGGTTGTATCACTAAATTATATTATTTTAGACTCCAATTGAATTGCATTTCGTAGCCTCTTGAGATAATTTTAGCTCTCGAATATATAGTTATTCAATATAATCAATCTTTATAATTCGATATATTGATTATTTGTCTTAACAATAACAATAAAACAATAATTTATTAAACATTAAAGTAATTCTCATAAATAGCGACATCACGTCTTTAGGCAACTACTTTATATATATATATATATATATATATATAATTATCTATATTTATACCTTATCTATATACATATATATATATAAATGTCTGGAAAATTTAGTCTCAATGATTAAAGTAAAATGGTTTCTTATATGTATTATATATTATCTATGTATTGAATCTTTAAGTACTCTTAACATACATTCTACATTTTAGTTCCTTAAATCGTGTCCATGCGTAGATGCATTAAGAGTTTTTCAAAAGACTGAAAACATGTAATTATTTATGCATTTAAGTATTTAATTAGTTTATTAATAAAATGTATTGGAACCTTGTAATATAATGAGCATTTATCATTAGCCAGAATTATTATAAGCGTATACTGGGTTTTAACTTATGACTATGAAGTATTCGACGTTTGCAATCTGTATAGCTTCCTTTTTCATACAATCAATAGATTTTGAACTCCTTCAGCCAGTAAGCGTACGTAATCACCTGAGTATATACGTAGACTTTCACTAGATGAACAAAAACATTTCCTTCCCAATAAAAAAAGAAGAAAATAAAATATGATACCAAACAAATAGTTTAGTAAGGCTCTAAGCAAAGCTGATTGACGGAGTATGTGTAAAAGAAGACTATATTCGGTAAGACGATAACAAGAAAATTATTTAAATGTTACCAGAAATGTTAAAAATTGAGCATTGTTGACCTTCATTCATTCAAGATGGACTTTAAAGCTTCTTGTTACGCGCTTGCCTAACGGGAATAATCAATTTAGTGAATTTCAACGGTAACAAATATATAGGCGAGCCACATCCCTTTACACAATGATCATGCCTCCCTCCAACTAGAGAACTTAATGAGAGCAAAGGTTTCTCTGTTGATCAATTTATGTCGAAGAACACCTTAACTCATATCCTTGAAACTGATTAATGGGCAACTGCGACATCGGTAGGCACGAAAAATGGGTCTCGTCCGTTATACGTTCAGTTTTGCAATTAATGATATTGCGAGTACTGATCTTTCATCACTGATCAGTTCATTCTCCAGAGATAGGAAATTCTGAAAAATCTTCTAACTTACCAATTTTATACTATCCTCAAAATTTGTAACAACTGAACTTAATATCGTTTATTCATTATATTTGATAATTACATTAATTTATTTGTTTTCATTATAATAATGCATTTTTTTATTTTAACTCGTCGACAAAAGCAGCCTGCAACTCAGCAATGTAATCATCGTCATCGCTCTTACCAGGTTTTGCTTCATTTGAAATAGGTTCCGGCGTGCTGTGCTTAATATCGTCTGATACTTGCGTAGACTCTTTTGAACGGACTTTTAGAATACGTACACGATCATTAATCTCTGGAGCTTCCAGATTTTCTTCCAAAGACTCTACATTAGCTTCTTGCAGAATTACACAGCTATTATGTGCTGGATTTTCCAAAGCATCTTCTTCTTCAATAACGACATACCTATTATTTTTATTTTCGGAGGACGTGCGCATTTTTTTTGATACACACCTACTTGAATTTTCTTCATTTAAATTGTCTATGGGAAGAAGGGCACTGCTGGCTACTCTCTTCTGTAATTGCATGATTTCATTATTGCCTAAGTCTGGAGTCTCCTTTGAACTTTCATAGACTGTGTTTTCATTTAGCTGTATTGTAGAAATACTGTGTTGCGGGTCTTCTTTGAAAATTAAAGTTTCTCTTTGAGGATGTAAAATTTTTTCAACTGAAGCGATCATATTTTTGCAACAAATTCGTATGTCAGGGCTTGGATCTTTTTTGCTAGATTCATCAAGTATGTACAAAACTATATCTGTAGGGGGAGAGCAGGGCATATTTCTTAATTTGATAAATATGAATAAGGTTTTGTACAACTCCAGGCGGCAAGTCCAGTCGTTATAAACATTTTCCTTCCACACACGTTTCTCATATATTTGAGCGCCGTTTTCCAATAGAGTGGTCAATATATTCTATAAAAAATTTCAATAAATTAACCATAATACAATTCAAAATGTCAAACAAAAGAATTACTAAATAATAGGTTCTATATAATGTAAGCGAACCCTGTTTATTTATGTGAAAAAAGGTTTCTGTTTTGGAAAACTACACAAACAAACACGATTAACTGGAAAAGTCTAACACCTAAAAATAATTTCGAACGATTCACATTGATTGTACATACAAAATCCACTTTTTCAACTTCAATTCAGGGTATCTCCTAGTCGGGCACTCACTACAGCCTTCATACTTGATATTGAAAGTTTCACAAAAGTCATAAAAATTTTGAAGGTTTAAAAAACTCAAGACAGATATTTAAATCGTTGTCACATTGTATACTCTCTTCTTTTCGAATATAATGCTTACCCTTAGAAGTTGTGGTTTTAAAATATAACCAACAGAATCCAAAACCATTTGTAGACATTGTAATGCATGCCTACAAAGAATTTCTTTGTTTTTATTAATTATCGCTTCGCCTTGGAAATGTGCTTCTGTCGATGCAGTATTTTTCCTTTTACATTTATTTTTTGGCTGAGTAACGGGCTGCAATGTTTAAAATTTTAGCAAAACACAATTTAATATATAATTATAATTACCATCAAATATATGTCTCTACGACGGATTGTGACATCTTCAAGTAAAATTTTTACAAGGCGTTCGGCAATTAAATCGCATCCGCTTCCCTCAGCAAAAGTTAAGAGCCATGACGTTGTTGCTTTATAGACATGAATTCGTAAATTACTAAAATAGATAAAAATACAAATTATTAACAAAAATAATGGTCATTGTTAAAAAAAAAACTAATTAAGAGACGCTTCATCAGATGTCCTAACATCGGTGTTAGGATTTAAATATTCAAATTAGTAAGTATGCCGAGTCAGGAGCTACCGTTTGCATACTACTCACTCAAGAGGCGAATTTCGGTAGAGTAATAGATATGGTTAATAGTTTAGTTTTTAATGTTAAGTTGTTAACTGTAGAGCTGAAGACTGTGCTCTTAAACTTTATTAGGCTACAAAACTGTGGAAATTACAGGGTGTTTTCGCTGTGCAATGCCCCCAAAGGAACGTAGTTCATCGATACAGGAGGTCAAATCTCAAACATTGATAGTGCTCAAAATAAAACAGAATGTGCACAAAACGATACACAGTTAGATCTGGTTTTCCATGCCCTTAATAGGCGTTTCGGGAAAGTCTGACAAATCTATCAGACGAGGGTCCTTTATGTATATTTATAACTGTTCGTCACCAAATTCAAATAAATATACTTACAACAACTGGATTGAAATTCCTTCAGGTGTTGACCACATGGTTTTTTGTAATGAGTCCAATACAATACTTGAAATCAATCGAAAATGCGGTCTGAGGTGAGTGTGGCAGCTAAACAAAAAGAAAAATTAGTCAGATTTAAAATATGCCAAAAAGAGACGTAAGAATTAGATATTCAAAGGTAGAATACATAGTAATATAAATTCTCTAAGTGGAAAATAGTTCTTGGAAAAGTGTAATTAATTGGCAAATGAAGGCCATATTTTAGATATAGAAGTCTCCAAAATAACTAATGTACTACAGTGCATATAAAACAGCCTAAGCAATTATGTACTACAAAATGCATGATGCGCGAATTGGCGAATTGCCAACCAAGGGCAAGTTTGAGGCCAGGAAAAACGGAATCTAATGGTAGCTGTCCCCGAAATTTTTGTATGCTGATTTTATGATAATAAATAGCATACTATTATTATTGTTAGAAGTTTTGCTGAAATTTAATATTTTTTAACTTGAATATTATTGAAATTGTTTAAATAAGTCTCTGGTATTTGAAAATAGTTTTAACCTTAATATTTTTTATTGACACTTGAAAACTTCAGCACTTGCCGTTTAGACAAAGTCCGAGAGTTTACCAGTTCGGACAAACTAAATATAAAAACTGTTTCTTTAATTCTCTATCATCAAATCAAGCTTTAAAGATATCTTTTACTTACATGTTGATCAAAACTTCTAGTAGCTCCAATAATTTAGTATGCATTTGAGGTAGAAGATTCTCGAAGCACATGCTATCAATATTCTCACAGTTTCCATAGCTCACTCCCATACCATGTTGAATTAGGTCCAAAATTTTCTTTGGACATATTAGCTTTTTTGAAGAGTACGGTTGGCTGTTAAAAAATTTCGATTATAATAAAATAGCTTGAAGTGCGTTTAATTCCACAGACCTTAGTGCAATCTTAAGGAACTCAGTTAGATTGCAGAATCGTCTGCAAACTTGAGCTGCTCTTTCAATTGGATCTCCTGTTAATTCCAAATTAAAAGATTGCAATTTATGGCTTTTGAAGTCCTTGGTATTATCTTTGTATTTAGGAAATCCATTATTTAACAAATCGTTCAGGTTAGCTAGCAACCCGAGTTGGAAATCTTGCCATTCAACTTTTTCGTTACTGATGCCAGTGTTGTTGGAATTTCCCCGTACTTGTTGTAATTGTAACCAGCAATTTCCGCTTTCATAAACAACTTCAGGGTAACAGCTATCTACCAATGTTAGAAGGTATTGTGTAACTCTAACCTTTCCTGACTTACTGGGTCCAGGGTAGTACTTTAAACATTGTTTTACGGCTTTTAGTGCAGCAATCGTACAACATAGGGTTGTATCTTTTTTCAAAAATGATAGACTTTCGTAAATCTTTCCTAAACAAGTTGCACCAAAGGATTTTGCTGTTTCAGGGGCTGCTTGTATTTGAACTACAAGTAAAGCTGAAAGAAAACTTAATTAATTACTGAATTTGTAAAACCAAAGTGATTTTCGACTTCCGAATTTTATGAATATGTTATTACAAATAATTTGGATGGGTTCCTTTTTCAAATTGGTTCAAGTCCAATTACAGAAAAAATCTATTTCCAATTTATCATGGGTTTTTGGTGATAAGTAAAACAACACATAAGAGAAGAGTTCTGGATAAGATAATTATAAAATATTAAAATTAAGAATGAGCCTTTACTATGCAGAGCCATACCCAAGAAGAAAAAGACCCACATAATCGGTCGCCGTAATAAGAAAAAATAAATATATACTATAAAAATAATTTAGAAAGGAACGAGAGTGAGTTAGATTGCTGATGTAGCCCGTTAGTACTTTATTTTTTACCTGATTTACAGGACAACGTTTTAGAGAAAACTTTATATTAGTATTTTTGTTTTAAATAACGGTTCAGTAGTTAGTGCTAAAAGGTATCGAAAAAAATGTTTTCCATTTTATTCACTTATAAATTACATAAATAAAAAATGTTTAGTTTAATATGCAAAAAAAAATGTTAAATTAAAATCTACATTATTCTTCATAAATCAGAAAATTATTTCCATAGAAGGAAATCTATATTTCTATATTGACTTACAATTTAAGCTTATTATGAATACATATAATTTAAAAAGGGGCAGTCTTCTTCGAGGTGTAACACATAATGCTTGTTGGAAGAGTATTTTATAAATTGAAACAACAAGGAACTGTGCCTACTCGGCAGCAACGTGATATTTTAAGCATGCTTAACATACCAGAGTAACGTTTTTTTCGAATTCCTACGACTATTTTGAAATAACCTTTATATTTCATGACAGATTTGTATGACTGATATTTTGAACATAAATCTTTAAACATAAAAGACATTCTTAATACCAAATTATCTATTCTTATCGATATCATATAACGTTTATATGTAATCGATCTAGTTTGGGAACCTATAAGATTATATTGAACGTGTTTTTTAACTTACCCACAGCTTCATATATAAGTTCTCCATATAAGCCAACTTCCTTACTATTACATGTTCTAGTTATAATAGTTAACCAAATATTTCCCTTATCTTTCAAAATGTGACTTGGGCATTGGTTTAAATATTTAATAAGAAATCGTAAGCCGATTGATCGAGTCTTAGTTTTGTAAAGGAGAAAAGTAATGGATTGTGCCTCCGACTCTGTGCTCTAAGGAAGAATTTCTTTTAACATTGTATTCATAATTTTGCTTGAACTTACTGCTCCGTGAAGATTTTGATCCGCAACATTAAGGTAGACATTTCGGTCTTCCTTTTTTGCGTGAACAATTGTTTTGAATATATCACCAGTTCGAAACATTTCTTAGAACATGTGCGGACTAGAGATGCGATATTAAAAAAATGCATATGGTAGTATGTTTCTTAAAATCGATTTTTTACAATCGACTATTCGATTTGGTAAGTCGATAAGATAGTTTGAAAAATATAGTTTAGTTTAAGCAGCTTAAAACATTATTTTGAAAAGCTTGCAAATATTCGATTACTTGTATCTACGTATTCGCAAATAACTACTACTACTACTATCCTAAAATATATTTTATAAATAGCACAATCTGGTTAATGGATAACATACATGTAAATTAGGGCTGCGCGAATTGGGGCGACCATATTCACGTATTTATTGTGGTAATTTTAGTGTCTTTATGTTATCGTCTCGTGACTCCCGTCAGCTGACATTTTATTTGAGTAAAAAATTTATAGGCTGTTTCAGTAAAATTTAACTAAAAGAAATACAATGGCTTTGCACTCGGCAATTAAAGGAAAATTAATATCTGTCATAGGTGATGAGGTGAGCTCTTTATTGCATACTTTAAATTTACAAAAACGTATTTCCGTGTACGCCTTAGTTACAAAAAAAGAATTTAGATAAAATCGATTTTGATAAGTTGGCTTAATACAATTAAAAATTATACATATCTACTGACTTTTTTGTATGTGTATAAATAGACAAGTGCATATAATACTTACAAACCTTCCTTTTAGGACACCTGTGTCGGGTTTCTTCTTGGAGGAGTTGGAGAAATAAACAAAAATCGTCATCCCAACTTCATGGTAGTTGACAAAAGTAAGTTAATTGCCAATTTGCATTCATTTTTATGGTAAATTGCATTTTTTCATATCCAAAAATAAGGTCGGAACTACAGTGCTTAAATTCAGATTCTGATTATGTTTTGTTCATATTTAGCTTATTTAATGAAAGATCGCTTACATGGATGTCCATATATAGACATTTATACATAATTTTAATATATATGTACATACAACATGCAAGCTTAAACAGCGCCCTTATTAATAACTATTGTGTTGTAACAGATACATTGATTCACAATTCTCAAGTTAGTGTGCACGCGTGTACATACTTGTTGAAGCTTTTAGGCTTAGAGGCAAAATAATTTGCGCTCGTACAGACTGCATTGTGCATAATCAATATACATATTAGCATAGCATGTACAACGCTGTAAATATTTTCATTCTTAGTATGAAATATTATGGTAAATAAAATTAGCATCTGTGGTGAGCCAAGTATCATGTAAATGAATTAAATGCATTTTGTAGGGAACATATGAATATTTTCATACTCAGTAACTAAAGCCGAAATTGCAGATAATGACAATCCTTGTCCATAAAATTAGGGTAATATTAATTTGTATAAGTTAAGTTTTTCCAGAAATATTATAAACACAGCTCAGTTCGCGGTAATGCTCGATCTTGTTTAATATTTGTATTTTTTTGGTTCATTTATAGATACTGCGGTCAGCGAAATTGAAGATTGCTTCAAGCGTTTCCTGAAGCGTGATGACATTGACATCATCTTAATAAATCAAACATATGCCGAACTCATACGTCACGTCATTGATGCGCACACTTCTCCAGTACCAGCTGTTCTTGAAATCCCATCAAAAGATCATCCCTACGATGCCAGCAAGGACTCTATTTTACGACGTGCACGTGTAAGCTTCATTTAAATTCTACATATTTTTCATTATTAATTTCCTTTTCTTATTGACAGGGCATGTTCAATCCCGAAGATTTGGTACGCTAAAGGGTTCACGTGTTACACTTTATTTCTTTAATGTTGTTCAATGTTTTGCAATACCTATAACAAAAACAAAAACAAAAACAAAAAATTTATGTATGTTTTGTTAGTTGTACTCATTCCAAATTGAATAAAAGCTTATCTAAGCAAGTTAAAAATGTATTATATATATATTATGTATTATTATATATTATTGTTAACTGCACTCAACAAGTTTTTAATGTTTTCCTATTCCTTTTTCAATTTGTAATTAGTTATACTTATATGTATTCGAAATTTATTAATAGTAGTATTTCAACTAAGAAGCAAGACATCAGAAGAGTTAATTGATGATGACTCCAGATCAAAGTTTAGCTTGATAATTTTACGGGATTACTGACATTAGTGCTGTTTTAGTTAAGGATAATCATTTTAAGTTTATAGACGATTTATAGACATTTGACATCTGGCATTTGTCATAGAATGCAGAAAGTCCGTAAGGTTAAATGAGTTGACATTACATTTTAATTGACCATTTATTTTTAAATGGATAATTACATTTTAAATATGTGAAAAGAGATTAGAGTAAAATTGTAAAAGTATTTAACTTAAAAAAATTGTATATGTTTTTATATCCTTAAAATAATTTCAAAAGATATCTTGGGAAGAAAAATACTTTGTTCTAGGGAAGGATAAGAGTTGTATATTTTCTAATACCATGTAAAGGGGGTTAAAAGGTAAGCATACTCAAGGACTAGCCAGTAATATCTAGGTTGTCTTAAAGTACATCCAAATTAAGAAAATATTTTAATATGGAAATTTATGTGTGTGTGAGTGTTCCCATGATTAGAAGGACGCTACTCGAAAGAAATGAAACAATATTTGGCATACATAATTGTATAAGTAATAAAGCTTTGTTTGAAAGAACATAATAATTTTTGTTGAGAATGTTTGATTGTGCTAAGTTAAAGTTTGAGTGGTGCGGCTTATATGTTGTTACCTCACCCAAACAGCTTGCAATGAATGTGTTCAGGGATAAATGTTAATTGGCTGATTATGCTTCTGGAAAGAGAATCGGAATTATATTTCTACTGTAACTCAATAAAACTGTGCTGAATTAGATTTTGATTTGCTTTCTTTTTCCAGATGTTGCGGCTTCTTTTGTATACTGCTAAAATATCCTTTGTAGAGTTCTCTATACTACAGTTAATATTTTTATGAGTTTTGCAGTCTCCAAGTGTTAAATAATCGTCAGGGGAAGGTCAGGTGTGCAGGCATACTTACCTACATTTTTATACACAAATACATTTTTTCCCATACAATTGTTCCGATGATACTTATAAGACAACGACCACACCTAACCGAGTGCATGATGTTATGCTTTGTGGGTCAACAAGGTCATAAGGATGCCTTATAGGCTTCATAAAGATCAACTAACAAACACCAAAGCTATTAAGTAACGCATTTTCCATAGAGTGACGTTCTAGGTGTAAGCACAGTCATTATTAAATCTCAGGGTCTTCCGTACGGGGGCATAGAAGTACGCTAGATTTAGGATATCTTCTAATACTGTATTACCACGTCCAATTCATCAAGTGAAGGATGAGCTCCTTATTTAAGAATGGATTATCCGTTTTTAAAGTTAATGTTGAAAAAATTAGTTTGCGGCGTGTGTAAATGTGAGTAAACATGTCTGTGTTTGGGGTTTACATGTGTAAGAGTACTCTTATTTGTATGTTAATGTGAGACTTGGGACATTCCATGATAGGACAGGGAAAGGTGCTTTAACTCGGTTAGAGGACTCTTTCTATTAATTTTTGCTAAAGTGAAATATAGTAGAAAATTTGTGTGAAATGTCGTTGCAAAATTATCTTTTATTGGTAGACGAACAAAAAAGAACAGGCTTTCATTCCTGTTGATTAGTCAATTTTAGCGAATATATTCAAGAATTTTGTCTCCTTTTATCTGCTGTTGAGTTAGTGCACGACTCGTGATAGCCACTTAATATTTGATCTCCATTTATTTATAACATTTTATTTTTCTTTATAGTTATGTGTTTATACTACATTTGTGAACGATTACTTTTTAATTCCCCTTTCAAAGTGCTTTTGTAAGGCGTTAAGTTGAACAAAATAAAAGTATATAATTTTGCAAAGTATCTATATGTGGACTCTGACGTTATGCGCGGTTATGAAATCTTGAATATGCTTTACCGTTCTGAGCTTTATTTGCCGCAATGCTGGTGTTGAATGTTTTTGGCTAGCGGCTTGAGCGATGGTAGCTCTATAAACGTTACTGGACCACATAAGGTCAGACTTCATACTTTAATTGCTTGAACGATTTTGTAAGAAATGGAGATTTATTGGATTATATTTATAATTATTGGTATAAATATATGTTAATTATAATGTTGCTTGATGTTAATTTTTAAGCATGCGCATGTATAAATTTGTAAACAGAAATATTTAAATTGTATGGAAATTAGTACTTTTATAATCACTGTCTGTTCATATTTCAAAAACTATAATTTGAATAATCTTCCCTTTCATTATAACTTTACTATTGTTCTATTTTGTGTGAAATCGGTGTTATGTTTCCGAACTGTGAGTCGATGCGATGTTTTTATTATTGAATTTGATCTTAATTAATCTTTTTAGCTTTAGCACATAACGATTTTTCCTTTTCAAAGTTTTCGTTTCCGTCCTTGTAACTTTTACCGTGCTGCTTCGACATTCGTTTGTATAATTTACAATATAAATCCATGTCTATTGCTGGCTGTTGGGGTTCACCTGCCCGTTAACAATTGGCAAAAAATATGGATGCGCCATAGCTTCGCGAGCTGTAAGACGATCCACGTGATCATAACGCAATAGCTTATCAAGAAAGTCTAATGCTTCCGGTGAAACCAGATGTTGATTATCAGAATGAACAAATCGTTCCCAACGCTTGCGGGAATGGCGTTGTAAAATATCGTGAAATCGCGGATCTAAATCGATGTTGTACTTATCAAGATACGCGTACAGTTCTTCGGTGCCCAGCACCTTGGCAATTCTAACAAGTTGATCATAGTTATCATGGCCATGAAAGAATGGCTCCTTGCGAAAGATCATTGACGCCAGCATGCATCCCAATGACCACATGTCCAGTGAATAATCGTACATTTGATAATCGACAAGAAGTTCGGGTCCTTTGAAGTAACGCGAAGCCACTCTTACATTGTACTCCTGACCCGGATGATAAAATTCAGCAAGTCCCCAATCGATGAGGCGTAACTTTCGATTTTCATGATCTATCATTACATTATGAGGCTTAACATCGCGATGCATTATGCCCATGCTGTGGCAATAATCGAGTGCTTTAAGTAACTCAAACAAATAATAGCGAATCTCATAGTCTGTTAATGTTTGATACAGTTGTTTAAAGTCTGTATTATTCACATGCTCGAAAATCAGTGCTGGGGTGCGGGACACTGGATCTTTGACAACGGCTAAGAGCGTTATGATGTTGGTGCCCCCACGCAAATTTTCCAAAATCTTAATTTCGCGCTTTATCTTCTTTTTTTTAACTGGCTTCAATATTTTCACAACACATTTCTCAGTTGTCGTTATGTTGATAGCCTCGAACACCTCAGAGTACTTGCCACGTCCCAACTTGCGAACCAATTGATAATCATCCTGATTTCCCCAGTCAACAACGTAATTCTCGTAATCCCAGTATTCATCAGGCTTGTGAGCGTTTACGTCTGTATAGACGCGAGCGGCACTTGGTAGTGTCATCTCCGCCGCTGTATTGTTTCTTTGATCTTCCTCTTCTGAAAATGCTTCACTTGTGAGTTCTTCAGAAGACTCGGTTGTGTTTGGATGGGTCCACGCAGCAAGGTTTATGTTATAAAACTGACTGGAAAATTAAAACGATGCAAGTTAATGAAAATATCTAGTATAAATATATTCTTATAGAAAATAAGAAACATTAATATTTTCCCAAACATACCTGAGCTGAAGAGGTTGCTTTAACTGATATTGGTGCGGCCCCCTATGGGACCTACTGGAAGTTGCAATTGAAAGCCTTTGTGTTGTTGGGGGTATTTCGTTGCAGTTTGTACCAAAATTTTTTATAGGCAGTCGACGTAATAAGCAAGAGAGAGCCAATTGACGGTGGACGGCGTTCACTTTACTTCGAATGTTGCACTAATTTATATAATATAGAACGAAAATAAGTGTACAAAATGTGTATATGAGTGAATATTTTCTAAACAAATCAATTAACATGGTTACATATATAACTAAATACATACAATCATAAGCGTGATTCAATTTATAGATCGGTTAACGCACAAACGCACACTTTACATACAATTCCAATTATTTGCCAAAAATTTTAAATGTATGTACGTACATATGCATGCGTGTGTATATCTACATACGTATATGTATATGTGTTTGTGTGTAGGAGACCACTCTCCGGTACAATTAGCAATCCTTCTAATTTAAATAACTACTGTGAATGGAAAGGTATAAATAAATGATATATTTACGCACTTCTGTTGCAGGTTGAAATGAAAAGAAACCAAATTTCGCGGTGTTCACAGATTATACTCACAAAAAAAAAAGAAACACAGACCAATTGACATTGAGAACGGAAAGGCCGCTATCAAACAGCAAAATACATTCGTATTGGTACAATAATAAAGCCAAAGATGATTAGTATTTGTGACTTTAAAATATAATACTCACATATTTTATGTCAGACAGCGTGGATGACGTGAAAAATTCATTATTTTAGTCGGTGAACCGATAACACTGCTTGTTCATAGAACTAGTTCGGCATTGTTTGCCGTAATATAGCTTTACTACTTACATTTTTATGTTTACACGAGCTGTCGATAACATTATCTTGAAATAATAATTATAGTACGCAAAATGTGTTTTATTTTTCCATGTGCTTATGCACATCTATTGTTGGAGGTAGATAAACTGAATATAAATGAAAAATATCATTTTTAGCTATAAGCCGTTAATGTAAAATATGGGAAACTCACATTCCTAGAAGTCAGCCATAATCTTATGATTCTTTTTTATTCGATAACTTTCCACACGCCCATTCACACGCGACATCTAAAAACTAAATTGTTTACAAAGAAATTTATATTTGCTGCCGTAAACATATAGTATGAGCTATTGAAAACATAATTTCTTTCATATAAAAAAAAATAAACAGACACTAAGCAACGGCACTACGGTCACATTAAAAAGAACTACTTTCAAATGTGAGCGTGAACATATGCAAAAATGCTTAGCATAACGTGTTCCATGCCATTTTGTATATATTGCATATCATACAGAATTACCTTAAAATGTATAAATGAGTGTTATGATATACCGAATTAGAGTACATTAGAGTTTACGGATTGGATTGCGTATATGGGCGCGGAGCCTGTAAGAGCTACACGTACGTAGGTCCTGCTATATAAGTATACCATTCCATCTTTAGATATTTGACCACATCTTGCACGCTGCTCATTCGGATTATCTACTGAATTCCGATTAACGAGAAAACTAAAGCGATTTAATATGTGTAAAAAAGAGAGTTGGTCGGATCGGAAACTAGGTTAATTCGATGTCTTGCACTCAGATCGTGTGTATGTGCGCCGATAACACATGCTCTTTGGCGACTGATAATGTGGCTGATGATGTAAGTAGACATTTTGGGTCCTAGACAGAAAGCTGAATGTGAACATACACACAGGGAAGTCAACACACGTTATATTTGCATCATAGAAACAAATGAGTGCACATAAGCCAACTTGCTTGTAAGCACAATCGCCGCTTTTCGGGTTACCAGAAAAATTTATATTATTTACTCAAAAACTCCTCCCTTATATGACAATCATCAGGCCGGTTTGGGCTTTTCAATTGAAGCATAGTATACTTTACTTGAACTCCGTAACAAAAGCTTATAAATATATTATATATAAATAAATGAAAAGAATATAATTATTTAAGTCAAAGGAGATTCGTTTTGCATCTGCGCATAAAGCATATTTAATATGAATTGTAACCGGATAAAACAAAGAATTGTATTTAATTAAAAAGAATGCTAAACAAATGTTACATAATAAAGTTAATATTTAACAATATTGTGCTATAGCTTTTCTGTATACTTAATTTTTTATATATAAATCTTATATTATTTAGAAAATTAAACTAAATTACCACCACATTTTAAAAATTGTATTTAGCTGACTGTTTATCAAGCTAAATTATACATTTGTTATATGTATTTTGTTCTAGTATAAAATTAAATTAAAATATTTAATAAAATATATTTTTCAAAATAAAAAAACGCTTTTATTTGTCTTGGTCTCTCTCGGTAGTAAACAGCTGTTTTAGGGGTTGGTTTCGATTCGCTCAATGGACCAAGAGAGAAAATCAAGATGTTTGATTAACTTCATCTGTCACACAGTTCTCTGAGATTATTCATTCAGCTTGGTTATCTATCTACTTATTACGGGTCAATTGTGTTTACAATAATATTTAATCGTTTTTTTACACTTGTTATATAAAAATTTTGACATAAAATATTCATTGATTTAAAAAAAAAGTCAAAGGATTTAAGGACACAAACATTTCCTGTATGAAAATACTTCGAAATACATCTAAAAAAGTGTGAGTGTAATATTTTACTTATGTATATATATTTATATATATATATATATATATATATATATATATATATATATATATATATATATATATATATATATATATATATATATATGCATGTATGTATGTATATATATATATATATATATATATATATATAATATATTATATATATATAAGAAAATACAAAAATGAATATTATGTACATATTGATTAAATTTCCACCTGACATACATATGTATATAATAATTGTAATTCAAATTGCATTTATACACGCCCATTGAAGCACTACAACTATATATAAATATGTCTGCAAGTATTACTAAAACGGACATCCTTACAAACGTAGATAAATATATGATAAATCATTTTTCGACCGGTTTTCATGGGTATATCCTGTACCCATAACATACATAGTAAGTGAAAGTGTTCCAGTTCTGATTAGACAATTTGCAAAACCCAACGTTGGGCACAAGCTGTTCGCGAAATGTGCCAGTTTACAAGAGGCGAAGCCACTCATCAAACAAATATACACACAAACACAACTACATGTGCTTTCTATTGCACTGAAGTGCACGCTCACGCAGTTAATTGCCAAAAGAATTAGATTTCTGCATGTATCAAATTTTTGGGGTAATTGATGATGGTTTTGATTTAAGGTTGTCATGCTTTAAATATTTTTTAGCTAATCTAAAAAACATTGAGTGAGAAATACTCAAGTAACTACTATCAATTATCGATTCATGGGAAGGGGAAAAGTTATCGATCATTTGAACTACACTTGAATGGTGCATGATATATGTCATTTCAAGTCTCCAGCCTTCATAGATTGCGGAATTTACATTTTCAAGGACTCCCGCATTACGGACGCGTATATTAACAATTAAATTCACATTTCCATTGGGTTTTTTAGTAATAGATAGATAGAGAGAGATCATTACGATGAGCTTCAAAACTTCCGATTACACTCTTTCAAGCACGGCCCACATATGTACATTCTCTGTATCATATACTAACTCGAACTCGAACCCTAACCCGAACCCAAATTACGTAAATATAAATGTTATATATTAAATGTTAACGTATTCATAAATATTCTCCATATTTTAGGCAATAAAAATGTTATAAAGTAAAGCAATAAACAAATATATTTATTTAAATGTAATCATAAAAAGTAAGACTATAACTCTGAATCGCGGTGAATCGAAATAAAAGAAACGCTTAGCAATGAAGCTAACGTCTCAAGAAAGCATTAAAGCTTGGATTCTATCAGCTCTGATGGTACACGGAGCAGTTGCAGGCAATCCGGATGCTAAACGCCTTTACGATGATCTTCTTAGTAACTACAACAAACTGGTACGCCCAGTTGTTAATACTACAGATGTCCTCAAAGTTTGTATAAAACTGAAGCTCTCACAGCTGATAGATGTTGTAAGTATTATATTTAAACATCACATACTTCAATAATTTTAAATCTGGAATACCTGGAAACGGATCGGAAATAAGCCGATGTTTATTTCTACTCAATGTCTTAGCTCCACACGTATGGAGTGTACAATTCCCCTACGTGGACATGGGACAGTTTTAAGGTTCTGGTATTTAGCATAGTTTCTCTGTCGATGCCATGATTAGGCTTAAATCAATAATTAAACTATCTAAATTAGTCGCATATAAATTACTTTACAAAGGCTCTGAGGATGACTGGTATAAATCCCACCCATGCAATCTCTTTATAAACAGGGCCTTAGTTACAGAGACCAGAGAAAAGGGATCGAAGTTAAACATTTCTTGAATTTAATCATTAGGGAAAAGCGAAAGTCGAGCTACAAAGATTTGTGATCTGCCGTACCAACAGTGCAACTTCGGTAGTGGGGTATTACCTTTACGGACGGATCCCATATAAGAATTAACTGTGTTGTACCAGACTAACTTGCACAAAATAACTCACTGTAAAACAGGTAGCAGAAAATTCAAGCAATATTTCCGTAGGAAACGGATTATTAACCGAATGAAATGAAATGGTTCAAACAGGAGTAATCGACGTATCGATTGATAGGATGAAGTCGTTGGCTAACTAAGGAGAATGACAAATATTTACATCTGAAGGGTTACCCCTTTGGCGCTGTCAGTAAACAACTCCCGCTTAAGAAGCTCTCTGTAATCAGGATTTTTATCTGAGGAATGCCGCAGACAAAACGACTTACGGAGGCGGCACTGTCGGCTTAAGGTCGGAACTCATGTTCTCTTAGTGGCGAATTACTTGTCTATCTGTATATATGTTATATATTTAATTTAAGTGTTATTAATCAAATATTTTTCAAATATTTTTTTTTAGAATCTTAAAAACCAGATCATGACTACAAATCTTTGGGTGGAGCAGGTAAGAACATAAAAATTCTGTTTATCTTATTTATGTACGCATAAGTACGCAAATAGATAAAGGGATCCATTCAAACGCAAAGTTCAGTGACACTGCCCCTGCCATGTTTTGTAGGGTCACTGAAATAAGCTAAAAAAGCAAGAGCACCTCGGCATGATGATTAGTGTATCTTTATAATTATTCAGAAATTTATTATGATTGTGAAGTGAGTGTATGGTGTTTGTAACAACAAATGATTTATTTTTTCAGTCATGGTACGACTACAAATTAAGGTGGGAGCCCAAGGAATATGGGGGAGTCCATATGCTTCACGTTCCATCCGATCACATTTGGAGACCAGATATTGTACTTTATAATAAGTAAGTAACAAAATAGCATTTAATCGGCTTTATAATTCAATGGCTGTAATATATGAAAATATATATTCATATTTATATATATATATATA